GGCAGCTCGCGAGTGCGCACCTGCCCGCGCCCTGCAGCCTTGCTGGAGTACAAATCCCAGCCCTACCCAGGCCTAGGAGCAGCCGGGCGGTGCGAGGGAGACGGGGAGCGCGGAGCGGGCTCGGCCGTGCCTTTGGGCTGCCGCCGCTGCATATGTTAAGCAGCAGTGAGTGGGGAGCTGCTGCTGGGGCTGTGCTGCGCCTTGGATTACACAGATCAAATCACAGAACTGCAGGAAAAAAAACAAAAACTATATCTGTGTGCAAACAGGTATTTGTACCGAGGAGCAGTATACAGGGACTGTTCTTTGGCAGGGGCCCCACATCAGTAGCTGAAGCCTCCTTTGTTAATAGTGACAGTGGTGTTGTAGCCATGGGCTGTTAAAATCTCACCTGCCTCCCTGACAGCGCTGATGGTTACTGTGTTATTCCTCATGTGCCAGCATCCAGAAAACAGGGCTTTGAGGTGGGGAGTTGCTCTGCAAATACTGTAACTGTCAGGCTGTATAACATGAAGACAAGTATTCATAGGGGCTATTTTTTCCTTACTGCTGGGGCTAACAAAGCTGTGGATTTGGGGGATTCCTGCGTCTTAGAGCACCCATTCCCCTCACCAGGAGGTGGCAGTAATTGTCAGATAAGCCAGGTCTGAGACTTTTGCTGCAGGGATATTCCCTTTGCTCCTTCCCTGGGCTCTCTTCTGCTTTGGGTTGATTTGGCAAAGAAGGGTAGTGGAGGCCTGGCTCTTCCCTTGGTCTCACCATGCAGCAGGGGCAGTGCAGGCCCTGGGTGGCTGCCTGCATTTGTGCACTGTGCAGCTGCAGGAGCTGAGAGACACCATCGGGGGGGGTTTTTTTGGGGGGGGGGGGGGGATTGTGGGCTCTGTGGGGCAGTGATGAAAAGCAGCCCTCAATAGAGGATTGGGAACGGACAGTAAGGGAAACCCACAGTGGCTTCAGGGATCATGAGTCAGAAGAGGGGAGGGTCTGGACTTCTGGTGGATCACAACAGAGAAATGTTTTGTTTGCCTACAGTCTCCGTTAAAACACAACTCCAAGTATGATACGCAGCAGCTGTGTTGTAAAGTTTGGTCTCCTAGTATCTCTCTGTAGTCATCTTTGTTTTTTCTTCCCTCTATCTCTGGCTGTACCTGTTCTCTCCTGTAAGAGACTGACTTCCCTCTTACAGGGTTTGCCTACTCTGGCCTTTGTCTCTTTCAAGTGTTTCTCTCTCTCTTAGTTATATCTTGTCACAAGCTGTTCTGCTTTCACTGCTGTTAGCACCTCAGCACTGCCCCCACAGCCTCTTCTCTACTCTCTGGGGGTGGTGACTGTGGAAGGCCCTTGCTTCTGAGAGCAGGAGTCAAGAAGGTCTTCTGTGAGTGCACCCACTAGCCTAGGATTTGAGGTTTTTGAAAGGAGGGAGGAAGAAAAGAAAGATTGAAGGTCTTCCTGCAGGGAGCCAGGGTGATCAACTAGTGGGGTGGAGAGAGAGGGACTGGAGCTGAGGGTTGGTGTGTCTGAGGTGTGCTGGGCTCAAGGTCGGGCAGGAGAGAGGTGCCTGTAGGCCCACTTGCTTCTACCTTGCTAAGGGCACAGCCAGGCTCTTTGCAGTTCTGGCCTGCAGAGGAAGGGATTCCAGTGGAAGAGCTGTTCAGCTCTTGCTCAAATCTCTGTTTAGGGTATTCCTCCTAGAAAGTGAGTAATTGGTTTTGTTCCTGTGGGTTATGAGTTGGGCAAGTCTGCATTCTCTCAGGGGCAGTTGTAACTTCATGCTGTACTCTTGCCTCCTCTCTTTAGGCCAGCGGAGCTAAATGTTGTTTTCACTCTGCCCTGAGGAGATTCCACCAACTGTGATCAGCTGGTCTTTCACTGCAGTGGCCCATGGCAGCACCAGGTGTCCAGTGAGAGGCTCAGGACTGATTAGATCAGCTGACAGCAAGGAGAAACACATGTGGAAGTCAGAAGTGGCCTTTGCAGCAATGAGATGCCTCACCCGCCCACTGCTCATGAGGTTTTTTGATCTCTTGTCTCAACGTGTGTCAGTAGGATTGAGCCAAACTAAAACTCCTGTGCTCAGCCCCAAACAGTCGTCTCTGAGGCAGAGCTTCAGCACAAGACCTGGGCTAGTGACTGCCAGTGATGTGGTCAAATACTGGCAAAAGGTGTTTGAGACAAATGGGATCCCTGAAGCACAGGAATCCAGTGAATATATTGTGTCCTTCATCCTGGGAGCAAAAACAGTTAAGTAATAGGAAAGGGGTAAGGTCTGCGCGTGCCTCTCACTTTGTAACTTTGGTTTAATCCCTTACCCCTGGGCTCTCTCAAGTGCTTTGCAGAGAATGAGATGTAGCCCATGACATGTACATCTATACTGTGCTTAGATTTCTCTGATCAATCTTGCATTTTACGTATTCTTCGGGGCCCTGAAAAACAGTAGAAGTAGTTTTATAGGTTTGTTTTTAAATAAGCAGATAGATTCTACTAGCCATCTGGGATTTCTCAGATTCTGAGTGGTATGCATTTGTCAGGTTGCTTGGTCTCCTTGGAGGATGCGCTCAGGGGGAGAGGACACCAGAGCTGCACAGGTGGGCAGGCTTTAAAGTGTCCTCATCTTCAGTTTCAGAGCTTGAACTCCAAAAACCTCTGCACTCCGCTTACAGCAGAGCAGCAGGAGCAGATCCAGCAGCTCAGCAGCAAGCGACTGGAGAGGTAGGAGCATTCCTTTGCAGTCCTTTCTTTGGTGGGTTTTCCTTCGGTTTTAATGCAAGAAGGAAAATGGAAGTAGAGGGAAGGCCATTCACAACTGACATGACAGGGTAACAGCAAGTGCTCTGTCAGTCTCATGTGATGAGTCAGGTGAAGGGCATTTGCTGTTTTTTTTTTAGGTAGCTAATCACCTGTTTGTCCCATGTGGGAACAAAGAGGGTTTAAGGGATGTTTCAAAGGAGCAGGAAGCTGACAGCACTGACTCTGAGTCAGATACATTCTCATTAAGCTCTTCTGTGCTTACAGAATTTAACCTTGGCCATTTCTGTCTGATCTGTCTGATAATGGTTTGTGGTGTTATTGTACTTTCCTTTCCAGGCATTGCCTCTGGGGTTATTTCCCTGGTGCTCAGAGATATGCATGGCTGTCGTAGCTTTGGTGACCCTTGGCCTCCGTGGCCTCTCTCTGGAGGGGGTTCTCTTAGTATGGAAACAGGTTTGATGAGAAGGAGTCACTTGGAATCAGGCTGGGCCTGGGAGGCATTGTGTAAAGAGAGAAAATACACAGGAACTTAAATCATTTAGAAGGGTGGGAGATGTCCAGGAGCATGCTTGGAGTTAGCTCAAAAGAGGTGTAAGGAAATATAACCCTCAGGATATGCATCCTCCTGCTTATTTCCACAAGTATCATTATGACTGAGATCCACATTTTGCTGTGAGGATTAACTCTGCAACATCTTCTGCAGAATAGCACATAAGGGTTTCTCAAGGAGACTTAGTGCATTAGCAGCCATTACCGTGCATAGCCTCTGAGCATCTTCCCTTAAATTATCCTGCTGCTGTTGCATTAGGATCAGAACCACAAACTTCTGCCTGGGAAGAGTTTGCAATTTGCTCTGTCTCAAAGTCTGTTAAGGTTGCAACAAATCTTTGCTATTCTACATGAAGAAGTGAGCCATGGCACCTCAGAGCAGCTGAAAACATGGCCTCAAAATTGACAGAATCACAGAATCATTTAGGTTGGCAGGGGCCTCTGGAAATCATTTAGTCCAACCTTCCTGCTCGAAGCAGGGTTCACTAGAGCAGGTTGTTCAGGGCCATGTCCAGTCAGGTTTTGAATATATCTAGGATGAAGGCTCTGCAGCCTCTCTGGGCAACCTTTTCCAGTGTTTGACCACCCCCACATTAAAACAAATAAAATCCTTAAGTTTAAATGGAGTTTTCTATATTTCAATTTGTGCCTATTGCCTCTTCTCCTTTCACTGGCTACTCCTGAAAAGAGTCTGGCTCCAACTTCTTTACTTCTGCCCATTAGGTGATACTGATAAGATTCCTCCTGAGTCTTCTGTGATTCTGTGATTCTCCATGCTAAGTAGTCTCAGCTTTCTCAGCCTTTCCTTGTACATCAGATGCTCCAATAATAGTCTTGGTGGCCCTTTGGTGGACTCACTTCAGTATGTTGATGTCTCTCTTGTTCTGGGGAACCCAGAACTGGACACAGCACTCTGGATGTGGTCCCACCAGTGCTGAGTAGAGGAGAAGAATCATCCTTCTTGACTTGCTGGTGACACTCTTCCTAATGCAGCCCAGGATGCCATTGGCCTTTGCAAGGGTGCATTGCTGACTCATGTTCAACTTATCCAGCAGGACTCTCAGGTCCTTTTCTTTGAAGTTGCTTCCCAGCCAGTTAGCCCCTAGTGTATATTGGTGCATGGGGTTATTCCTCCTCAGGAGCAAGACTGCGTTTCCTGTTGTTGAACTTAATGAGATTCGTATCAGCCCATTTCTCCAGCCTCTTGAGGCCCCTCTGAATGGCAGCACAACCAGTAGTTTAGTAGTTTGTCGGCTACCCCTCCCAATTTTGTATCATGTGCAAACTTGCTGAAGGTGCTCTCTGTCCCTTCATCCAGGTAACTGATGAATAATAAGGTGAATGAGATTGGACCCAATATTGACCCCTGAGCTACTCGGTTAGTAACTGGTCTCCAGCTGGACTTTGTGCAATGAATCACAACCCTTTGACCCCATCAGTTCAGCCAGTTTTCAGTCTACCTAACTGTCTACTTATCTAGTCCATACTGTATCAGATCGTCTATGAGGATGTTATGGGAGACAGTGTTGAAAGCCTTACTGAAGTCAAGATAAACACCATCAATTGTTCTCCCCTCATGCACCAAGCTAGTCATTTTGTCACAGAAGGCTATCAGGTTGATCAGGAATCATTTCCCCTTTGTAAATGTATGCTGACCACTTCCACTTGCTTTTCTGTCCTTAATAACTTTGGAGATAGTTTCCAGGATTACTTGTTCCATTACCTTCCTGGAGTTCGAGGTGAAACTGACTGACCTGTACTTCCCCAGATCCAGCACTTGACAACAAACTAATTTTTGGAAGTAAGCTCCTACAGCTCCATTTGAAAGAACGGCGTTCAATTGCCTGTGCTATTGAGAACCTTAGGGTTGTCTAAATGTCTGTGCTCAGGAGGGTTATGTGGTTAGTAATGAGGTAAGTATGGTATTGAGGTCTTTTCTGTGTTAGGGAGTATAGTCCTAAAGCGCTCTTACTTGTTTTTGCCTGTCACAGGATGCCAGTGCAATATATTCTTGGCGAGTGGGACTTTCAGGACCTGACTCTGAAGATGAGACCCCCAGTATTTATTCCTCGGCCTGAGACAGAGGTATGAATGTGGGGAGGTAGGGAATCTGTGCAGTACATTGCTATGAATGGGTCCTATACATCGTGACACTGCAGTGATGAAGAGGTCTGATCACTCTGCACTTCTTTTAGAGTGGGAGGACATTAAGCTTGTGGTCTGGAACTGAGGCTGCTGAAGTTTTCTTCCTGGCTCAGAGCAAGAGAGATTTTGCAAGCTCTAGCATATCACTTGATTACGCAGAGGTCTACCTCCACTGATAGAAGGACTTGGCATGCTTTCCTTTGCTATACTAATGACTCTTGTAGAAGCTCAAAGACATTGCTGCTGCATTCCAGTGACTTAGTACTTTGGATACAAGGGTAAAAATTTGAAATTGCCCAAAGTTTGTTAGCAAAATCAGGTACTAGTAGTAGAAACGCAGGGATGCAACAAGGAAGGCTAAGGCCCAGTTGGAATGAAATCTGGCAAGGGATGTCAAGGACAACAAGAAGGCCTTCTTCAAATACATCCAGAGCAAAAGGAAGACTAGGGAAAACGTGGGTCCCCTGCTGAATGGGGTGGGTGCCCTGGTAACAAAGGATCTAGAGAAGGCAGAGTTACTGAATGCCTTCTTTGCTTCCGTCTTCACTGCTAAGGCCAGTCCTGAGGAATTCCAGACCCTGGGGGCAAGAGAGGAAGGCTGGAGAAAGGAAGACCCTCCCTTGGTTGAGGAGGATCGGGTTAGAGATCATTTGTTCAAACTTGACCTCCACAAATCCATGGGCCCCGATGGGATGCACCCACGAGTGCTGAGGGACCTGGCGGATGTTATCGCTAGGCCACTCTCCATCATCTTGG